CGTGCCCAGATCGGTGGCCGCATAACCCATTATGGCTGGGTTGGTGTTGCTGCAGGTTCTGCCTGTCCATAGATCCACATAGTTTTCACAGCGTCTGCCCAAAAAGTTACCCGTATTAGTTGGATACACAGACTCCACGTAATAATCAACGGCGCGCTGATGCGAGCAGCTCGCTGCGTTCACACCCGAGCAGCCGCTCTTGAGTTGGGCCAAGCCCTGCACAAAGAAGCTGCCGTCGCCAGTGCTATCGGCAGTGCCGGCAATGCCCGGATTGGAGAGTATGGTGTCCACATATTTGGCGTCGCCGCTGCGCACGCCCGTCAGCTCGTTGCCATCGTAGAAACACGGATTCGCCGGATCCAGGCCGGTGACGCGCGTCAGCATCGATCCGCCCGTTAACAACTTGTAGTTGCGACCCGTAGAGCCTGCTATCTGGGCGCCCAAGCTGTGACCTATCACGTGCACGCTCGTCTCCACATATTCGCGATCCAGCTGAAGCAGCGCCTGGGCCACATAGAGCCCAATGGCCTCCGTGTTGAGCGCCGACCAACTGTACAGGGTAGTTATAAAGTTGGCTGCATCCAGCACCTGTCCAAGGGTATTTACATAATTTTAAAATCTAGAACGGTTTTCTTTGTGAGCTCAAGCTTCAGCTAGTTCGGCGGTATCTTGCAATATTTTCAGTAGAACAGTAGACAAGTCTTGCTATGAGCCAAAACCTGAGCTTAGGAATATGTATGTGAGACCAGGCTACCAAACAGGCAGGGAATACAAGTCGAACCAGCGACTTCTATTCACTGGGCTTGCAACTAAATCTTCAAAATAATTGCCTAATGCAGGTCGCTTACAATTTGGACGTAATTCGATCGGAGTATTATGGGAAACCAATCAAAAGGTAAACAATGAACTTTTATATGAACGAAATTTCGCAAAAAGTTAAAATTTTAACTTATGAGCTGGTTCATTTTTGAATTGAAGATACATCTACTTAATCTACTGAAGAACCGGTTCATTTTTGAATCGAAAGAAAGTATTTCTACCTAAAGATCATTATAAAGAGCATTGCTTACGAAGTTTACTTTTGACTACTTTTCGTTCTTATTCAAAGCAAAAGAACAGCCTTGAAATTGAACCAGTTCATTTAGCAGTTCACACAAAAAGATGAACTCACCACAAAGTTGGAGTCATTGCGACAGGCATATGCCTTGGCCACAGGCCCGCTGTTCGAGCGATCGATGGTTGAGCCCCAGCCGGTAATGAAGATGACTGTGGGTCTGTCCTGATGGAAGCCCGTCGTATTCCAGAGCTCCCTGGCCTGGGTGAGTGGTATGCTAACATTGGTGCAGGCATCAGGACGCAGCTGGAAGCTCATGAGCGACATATCTGGTATGATTTTCGGCTGCACCAGGCCCAGATCCATGATGGTGCTGCAGATGTACGTAAGTGTTGAGATGCTGATATCCAGCGGCAGTCCGAATACCAAGCCGCGCAGCTGATTCTGCAGCTGGTTCAGCTGCAAGCGCAGGGCCGCCGGACTCCTTCTGGCCGCACCAGTTGCATTCTGCCCACTAGCCACGCCCAGCGTGACGAGCAGCGGTAATAACCAAGCCAAGGGCGTCATTCTGTTAGGGGACGACTGTTGTTAGCTACGCCAGCGGCACACCCTTTTATAGCCCTTGACAATGGGTCAAGCGATTATGTTAATATTTATCAATGCCACACAACAGCCCTCAGTCTCTGGTCTTCTGCATGAGAATTTCGCTTAATCAGCTGCTCCAGTTACAATGGGCACACATCTCGTGCCCAGCTGTTTAATAGCCAGCCCAACACAAATCTAATTGTCTAAACGCTTGCCCAACGCTCCGCAATCAGCGATCCCCGATACCCGATCAACGATCACCGATCAGCGATCAGTTCACTCCCAGCTCAGCTACTGGCCCATTGCTGCAACTCATTGTGGGTGCTCCCGACTTGGCCAAAGAAAAAACAAATTATAATAAAGGCAGCAACGAACAAGAAGCAAGTAAAAGTGCTTAAGTCGGGAGTGCTCGACCAGACGACACCCTCCAACCAGAGGCGAACTGGTGTTATAAACACTCTAGCTGCCTTCAATACATGCATCTATATACATATGTATATATACACAAGCACACCGGCACGCTTGCTTCCACTTGGCTCTACTCCACAGGACATGCACTCTTAAATATATCGTTGCTTATTGTCCGATCCTCATTATAGTTCCAGGACTTAAGGGTGGCAGGCAAATATATATGTATATATATTTATGTGTAATATAGTTATATAGTTTTTTTCAATTTAAGGTGGAAAGGAGGTTGGTATTAAAAAAGTGAGAGATTCGAAATCTGTGTACACTTTATTAAATGAAGTATCTACTTAAACTAAAATCTATCAGTTTCGATTAAAAGCTTGTACTGTGCATGGTACGCGATCAGCGGACGGACAGGCGACAGATAAACGGACAGAAGGTCAGTACTGATCGTCGTACTGATTATGAATATGTATATATACATATATATACTTGCTGCTGCTGCCTGTTACGTACACTTGCACAAAAATGTCATACCCTTTTCTTCAGCTTAGGGTATAAAATTGAAGTATTTGCGTTAGGAAATGCTTCCAACGAAATGCGAATTAATAACAAAGTAACTCATTGGCGGCGGTTGCTACTGTTGTTGCAGTGCTTGTGGGTGTACGCGCAGCAATCAGTAGCAACAACAGCAAGAGCGACAGCGACAACAACAACGACAACTGCAATAACAACAACCACAACAACTTATTACATTGGTAATTTGTGTGCGCAAAAATTTTGTGGGGCGCCCCACTGCCCCGCTTGACTTGCTGCTATTATAATTGTTGCTGTTGCTGCTGCTGTTGCTGTTGTGACTAGTTGTTGCTGCTGTTGCTGGCACGCTAGCAGCAACAGCCGCTGGCCGCACTGGCAACGGTAAGTGGTTGCTTGTAGCTGTAACACTGGCAACGTGTCAAAAGATTTGATGAATAAAGGTGCAAGCTAATTATAACACTCACCATGTATTCACTTGTATTCACTTGTATTCGCTTCACCTAATTTAAGCAGCCAGCGAGTGTTTTGTGCATTGCAATTTCGTGAGTCTCGATTACCGGCATATTAAAAGTAAATTATTTACATATAATTTATTTGAATTAATAACTATTATTCACTATGTATTTATAACACCTTATGCGCATACAATTCTTATTCATATAGTTCAAAGTGCTTTTTAATAACGAGAAATGTTTTGCAATAATTTATTTTAATTTTATGAGTACACCAAATCATATTCTGTTTGTGTGTGCGCTCTAAAAACATTTGATTTGAATAAAGAGTAAACAAAACATGAAATATGATTCATATTCATATCGGATTAAAGGGAATCTATATCAGTTATTCGAGCATCCACCAGCATTCAATGGTTTATGATATCGCACTTTTCCACATTTATAATTTACTAATTGCTGCGTAAGGGTTTTGTATAGAAGAGAATATATATTTAAAGAGGGAGGCAGAGATTGGGCAATATTGTCCTCAGTCTCATGTCTGGGACATTGAAATAAAAATATTGCCAGCTGGCTTACATTTTGTTCTAATCTGTTTTCATTTAAAATAATAGTGATAATAATAATAATGATAACAAAACATTTTAAGTCTATTCTTGCACAGGCTACACACAATATTCAAATAAAAAAAACTCAAATACTAATAATTCGCACATTTTCTTTGGCAATGGCAAATTGTTTGCCAGCCACATTAAAGATAAAGAGTACAAAGATACATATGTATATGTATCTGTGGCCATGCATGTGTATCTGTTATTTCTGCCATTGTGACTTCTGCAATCTTTGAGATACATGTGGCAAGTGAGCGCGCATTGTTGGGAGTATTCAACTAACGTTTAGGCTCGCGGTGTGTCTGTGTTGTTGTTGTTTTGGTTGTTGCAATTGCATTTGTATGTGTGTGTGTGTCTGTGTGCGACTGCATTTTGGTCGCTCTGCTAACGCTTTTAATTGCCACCCCAAAGGTAGTTGTTGCCGCCGCTCGAATGCGTGGCATTTGGTATTTGCACAGGTTGCATCACAAGCACATCGAATACTCTTACTTTTCCATATATTTCTTGGACTCACGCTCAGCATGGCTCGAGCTACCCTCGTCACTGGCATTGCTGTATAGCTATTTTACGCTCTTGGCCATCCGTTTCCGTTTTGTTGATCAACTCAATTAGCTGCCACTTGGCGTGTGAGTGCGAGTTGGTCGTGTGCAGGCTTGTGGTTGCTGCTGCTGCGGCTGCTTCCGCATCGATGGTGCCTTGAAAAGATCAGCATAGACAGCAGGCAAAAAGAAAAATAAAGACGATGATTCGATTATGCAAGCCAGCGCGCCTGTGCGGCTGCGCGCCTGCATAGAACTGGGGCCAGCCGCAAATATTACGTATACGCACATTGCAACAGCTGCTGCGGTGGCGTTGAGGTTGGTGTCGGCGCCTCCTATAATTGCGGCTATTCAATGGTCAGCCGGCTGGCTTGGCTTGGCTTGGCTTGGCTTAGCTTGGCTTGGCTCAATTGCTGGCCGGCTGGGTGAGCTGCCCGAGCCGACTGCGCTGGCCGCGTTGTCCGCGCTGGCGTATACGTAATCTGCACAATAAGTGCACAAAATTATCAGCTGCAGCTAAGCGGCCGCCTCGTTGCCACCGTCGACGTCGTCGTCATCGTCATCGTCGGCAGATGTCCATTGCAACATGGATGGCCCAGCCAAGCCAAACAAAAGCATAGCTCAATATTGTTGCTGTTGCTGTTGTTGTTCATGTTATTGTTGTTGTTGCTGCAGCTGGCAAATGCAGGAAAATGTGTGCCAAAAGCTAGCGTATAAATGCCAGAGCTCTTGCCGAAAAGAAAATAGTTGACTTGCACCATTTCGCCGCGTCGGTAACCACAAACACAAAAGCTTCAGACAATCCACAGTCAACATGTTCAACTGGCGTCTTAAACTGATCCTCTTGCTGGCCCAGGCACTGAGCGGTCAGGCGGGCTACATTGGCGGCGAGCTGGCAGCTGGCGTCCATTCGGCTGGACTGCTGGGCAGCTATGCGGGTGCCTTGAGCGGCGGCGAGGCATTGGCCAAGCTGGATCTGGGCGCCAGTAGTGTCCATGCGGATCATGAGCAGCTGGGCGCCCTGGGTGAGCACTTGAGTGAGCACAGTTTTCCGGCGGACTATGGCAGCAGCGATGCGGGCGTCGAATATGCCGAGGCTAGCGAACATCATGAACACCACTACGAGCCGGAACCGGAGCTGGAGCTGGACCTGGAGCAACATCATGACGAGCAGCCGGTGCCCGGCATTGATCACGGCAAGGGCGCCTTCAGCTACAGTACGCTCTACGAGTTCAAGGATAGGCAGGAGCACGAGCAACACCAGCTGGAACACCAGCTAGAGGAGCAGCACATCGAGCAGCAGCTCGAGCTGGAACATCAGCAGCATGTGCTCGAGCACCAGCTCGATTCGCACTAAGCCTGTGATAGATAGACGCCGTTTCTACTAGCTAAATTTTTTTTTTTCCACCCAATATATATATACATATATCTTTTTTTTTCAATAAATCAGCTAAGTTTGTCATATGTGTATGTGTGCGTATCCTGGTCATCCTGTCTAGCGCCCATGGGACTGTACACGTTGCGGACTGTGCGCCTGAAAGTCCAGATTATCGCTGACAGTAAGACGCGGTTCCGCTCCATGAAGGTATGGGTGGAAGGAGCCGCCGCTGCCGCCTGAGAGCTCCAAATGCGTTAGTTCATCGGGCACCAGCTGCAGCACGGCGGAGCTGATGTGCATTATCGGGCCATAGTCTGTGGACATGTGTAACAAACACAAATGAGAATTTATTACGATTCGTGCGTTGCGCATACGCACCATTGCCCAGGTGCTGGCCATCGCTGCCTATTCGCTGCGGCGATTGCTGCTGCTGCTGCGGCTTCTGGTGGGGCAGGGCTTCGCCTGACGCCAGCGCCAGCAATAGAAGCATTCGCATCAAGTAACCGCCACGCTTACACATGGTGTCCACAGGCAACTGTCAGCCAAAGAAAATCAAATGTTATTTATATGTTTGCTCAGCGGATGTGTCGCGTCTTGGCTGAACGCCCATTGGGGTCCCAGCGTTGACATCTTCTGTCTGCACCAGCCCCCCAACGCTCGCGAACGCTGATCAGCTCGTGAGAATTCCAGATACTAGCTTACAAGTGGCTGCCTAACAAACATGCCAATAACAAATCGCTTGAAAGCCAATAACAAAGGTCGAGTGACAATCAAAATATAGAATATACGACTGACAAATGCCCTGGATGGAGTACGATTGGCAACGTAAAATACCAGAAAAAATTAGAATCTTAATTATATATAAAACACGAAAACAGCGCCATCTTCGACATGCCGAAGATCAAATACCCTTATGGCCATACAAAAGCTTTATTTCCGGCCAAATAGTCGCATAGGAGGCATATTAAATAGAATATATGGTATAGTTTAGTATGACGACTTTATAAATATCATGCATTTTAATAGTACATTAAATATTTATTGTGGTTGCTATAAAGTATTATAGGATAATTAATAAAACATGCCCAAGCAAGGCTGCAATCCAGAAGAAATTTAAATTTATATTCTTAATATGAACTGAACCTTGAATCAAGGTTCCAGTTACCCAAAAAATGGGTGAACCCCAAAGCAAACAGTACTACTTTCTCTTTCAAATATGATACAAAATAAAAATTACTTTTGTGTGCATAAGAAATATGCCAAAATTGTTTAGTGGATGACAATTTTGGGTATAGATCAAATTTAGCCCGCAATTTCTATATGAAAATATTTACGGCTTGCAATATTTTCAGTAGAACGGGCAGATGTAAATTAAAAAATGAATTTAATTAACACACAAATCAAATTAAATAAACAAAAATTAAATTAATTCGTTAAAAAAAGTTTGACTTCTGTTTGATATAAATATTTTTGTAGACATGTTTAATACTTTCCCATATTATTATTATCATAGAAGTAAAGCTCTTCAAAGATGATTAAAAAGGACAACTTATTGGAAAGTTGAGTACTCCTTGAGCCAGCTGTCCAGCTCATTAAAATGTTTTTGTATACATTTCAAGTTTTCATACTCACTTCGATTCTAATACACATAGGCACGTATATTTCTAAAAATTTTCAATATTCTGATTTTGGAAAACCAAAAAAAAAGAGAAAAATTCTCGAATTATTCAAGCGGTATGTAGAGAATAATTGCCGCAGTCCGTTCCTATTTCAAATATGCCTTCACCCGCATGCAGCACAAACGATGGAGAACATTAAGAGTAGCGATGCCCGTGGATCTAGTGCGTCCGTTTAAGTGTCAATTCGTGCAATCCTGGCTCCAGTGCGATAGCAATGCTGCCGTTCGTAACCCCAATATGCATCGTATTTAGCCACTGAAGCGTTTACCGAACATGGCAAACTTTAAACAAAATATAATCGTTTTTAAAATTGATGGACGTGAGTGAACGTTAAAACACACTCAACAAAATTTGTAATTGCAATATACTGTTTAACCATTCCAATCTGCTATGTATAATATTTTGCGCGAATAGTTGTAACAGGCAAAAGAAAACATTCGCGATTCCCTTATCAGGAAGCTCTGGCTATATCCGTCCGTTTGGAATAACGCATTGATCTCAGAGACTAGCCAGATACTTGAAATTATATATGATCGTTTCTGTTTACGATATCTCTCATTTGCATGACATTGTTCAATATCGATACATATCGATTTATGAAATTCGATACTATCGATATATGCCAGCTCCGAGACATGGCTTTTAAAACAACTCAAAAAGTACCAGAGCTATCTATACTAAGCTTGGTATGTAGATTCGAGAATATCATACATATTAAAACTATTTCACTTTTTGGAAACTTCCCACATTTCCTCCTAAGCTAAACTAAGTTTTAAAGCTAGAGCCATGTGATTTGGTATATAAAAACATTTGTAAAAGTAACTTATTTTTAAAGCTGAAGCATCATAATCATCGTATCATATCCTGATCGATAAATATCGATGCTGGATTTGGATTAATTTTCCATCGCATATCATATATTGTTAATATATTTCCTTATCGATAAATATTGATCTTATAACAAGATATTTCAAATACATTTTTTATATTTGTTACCGGAGCCTTTCGTATATTCGTCCAGACACCGCATATCATATATTGCTTATATCTTGTTCAATTGCTCGGATTTCAACAGGCTAGAAAAATAATTCAACTTTGACGTTTCAATTTTATTTATAGACATTGCCATGATCTATGTCGAAATGGCACTAGGCACGGCCCGCAACTGTCCCATTCAGCTGGACGTCATTGTCATTGGCAGCTTGGCAGCTTAGTTAGCATCCGCAGTTGATCACATTTAGCAGTTAGGTGATAAATTGTCTGATATGTTTAAAGTGTTGTCTATACGTATGTAGAACACCGCGAGCTCGCCCATGGCCCAAAGACCAAAAAATAAAAAAACCCCGAAATAACAAAAAAAAAACCCCGGAAAAAAAAAAGAAAAATCATCTTGGGAGACAACGGCTGTGATTCAAGTTCTCGATTATATAACCATATAAGGTCAAAACAATTTGCGGCTATTTGAAAAGCGTTCATTGAGGATATTACACAATAAGCTGACTTTTTATTCTGGCCAAAAAAAAACAGCATTGGATCGAATACAGGAAAACAAACAAATTGGGAGAAAAAGTATGCGACGTTTGTATTTAAAACTAAACAAAAAAAAAAAACAAAAAGTTATAAACAGTTGAGTAAGTTTAGGTGCACAGATCGTTGGCTAGATAGTTTAACAAGTCCGTTTGGGAGGGAGATTGGGGAAGGAGAGTTTAGGGATTGCCGCCAAGCTTAGCAGCCGGCCGCCAGTTTCTCCCAGATGCCGCCGCTCTTCCAGCCGCCATTGTTGTAGCCGGAGCCAGCGTTCTGCCAGCCATCGTTGCTGTAGGCTCCTGCCGATGCACCAGCGTTGCTCCAGCTGGAGACTGCAGGCGCGGGTGCGCCATAGACTGGGCTGGGCACACGGTTGATGCCGCTGTTGTCCTCATCGACAATTACCTTGATGGTCTTCACGTACTGCTGGGGTGCGGGCACACGCACCACGGGCTGCGGCGCGGGTACCGAGTAGGTAATTGGAGCGGGCGCCGGCGCTGGCAGCACACGCACCACGGGCTGCGGTGCGGGCACTGAGTAGGTAATTGGAGCGGGCTGGGGTGCGGGCACTGAGTAGGAAATCGGAGCGGGCTGTGGTGCGGGCACCGAGTAGGTAACTGGCGCTGGTGCCGCGTATGTAACTGGAACTGGAGCTGGTGCCGGTGCGCTGTAGGTCACAGCAGGAGCCTGAGAAACGGCGCTGGAGTAACTGCCCGCATTGGCATAGCTGCTGCTGCCGCCATAGCCGCCGCCATAACCGCCGCCATAGCCGCCACCGTAGCCGCCACCGTAGCCGCCGCTGGAACGAGCAAAGCTCTGGGGCTGCTCCACCACTTTGATGACCTTGATGACCTGCTCGTTGCCGCCGCCGTAGCCACCGCCATATCCGCCGCCATAGCCGCCACCATAGCCGCCGCCGTAGCTGCTGGCGCTGCTGCTGCCGCTGCTGCTATAGCCGCCGCCATAGTTGTTGTACACCGGACGGCTGGGCTGTGTGTAGTAGCCCTGGTTGTAGCCACCCGAGTAGCCGCCGCTGCCATAGCCGCCACCGCCATAGCCGCCGCCGCCGCCGCCGCTGCCGCCACCGCCGCTAATGGCCCTGAGCAAAGCCAACTTGGCGCCCAGGAAGGCTTGGGCGGGCGTGCCGAGCGCCAGCAGGGCAACAGCAATACAAGCGAAGAGCTTCATCTTCAATGGAATGCGCACTATTGGGGGGGTTGCGTCTACTGCCTGGACTAGACAAAACTCAACTGATGTCCCCAGATGGCGATACGCACAAATTTATAGGCCAACGCCAGCAGCCGGCGTCGCGACTGAGTCGCTGTCCCTTACCTCAAGCTGGCTATTGTGTGCGTGTGTGTGTGTGTAGTTCTAATAATACAAATCTTATGCTTTACGCTGGACCCGATCGGCAGACGACGTCAACGTCGGCAGCAGCAGCCAGAGCAGCGACACTTTGGAGCTCATCAAGCTGTTTGCTTAATTCATAAATAGTTACTTATGGGCCACACCAAAGCGGCAAAAACTAAGGCGCGTCCCCAGCTAACTGGCTATCCATACAATCATTCATCCAGCCAGCCATCCATCCATCCATCCATATAGCTATCTCTATGTATGTAACTATATTAGCTATCCAGCTATCTGTCTCTGTGTCTGTCTGACTGTCTGTCAACTCAACTACTTAACCATAAACTGAGATATTTTCTCACCTCTCTGCGCAAATAAACTTGGTTTGCCGTCAGCCGTCAAAACGATTCGCAAGAAGCGCAGGTAATTCCCAAAATGCCATTACACTGAAAGAAATAAGCGACATTAAAATGCATCTATATATAGATATTATCTAACTTTTTTAAGCTTAAAATAGATATTTAATATGTATCAATACATAAAATAATAATGCATTCTATAGGGCAACTAGAATAAACCCAAAAGCAAATTTATTATTATCTATATATATATATTTTTTAGATTGCAGTGTACTTTCTGGGTTCGATTCCTGATAGAGATTGATAGCATTAAAAGTATGTACAATATGCTTAAGAGCTTTTGCAAGTTGAAAACTTTCTTTTGTCAATTTTTCTTATTTTCTTTAAATTGTATTTACTTTGTTCTAGTAATTAATAATTTCATATTTTTTTCTGCTTTTTTTCTAACGAAAATAACAAAGTTTGATCAACCCTCAAATCATTTTTTCTATTCATTTTTAATACAAATTTATTTTGTTTTTTTATATGAGCAATAAACGTTTTATTTGCATTTCACGCTTGATTAGGATTTTCCCCTGGCACCCAATTGCAAGCAATATAAATATATATGTTCGTATGTATATTTTTGAGCAGTGCACACATGTATCCACATACATACCCGTACACACTCGTCTATATCTCTGTGCGTTGTGTATACAGAGGAGCCCGCACTCATGCTCACGCTCATATTGCCGTTCATTTAGGCTAGATCTTGGGCCTGGCTGCACGTAGCTGCCGCTTTGGCTTCAGCTCGGGTTTTGGCTATGGCTCTGGCTAAATTGTGACTCTTTGTGCTAACCGAGCGAGCAGAACGCTGTGCAAACAGATCCCAAGTCAACTGAAAGTTAAGTCAGGTCTCAAATGTAAGCCACGTTCGCATCTCATAAAGGGCGCGCTTGGCTCTACCATGGACCCGGGCCTAAGGCCCATTAGTTACGTTCAGCTGGCGGCTCGTTTTTGGCCAAAACGTGTATGCAAATCGATTGGCATAACAATTTTACAACAGATGCCGCTGGGTTCTATGCGACTCGTGCAACATTTTCATAACTTTAACAAGCTTCAGAAATCAACAGGTTTTATTTTTAGCTCAGTTCACAGAAGTTGCATAACTAAAGCATGGACCTGGCTTAGTTAATCGCAGTTATTAGTGGAAACGAGCACTGAGATAGAGCTGACAGACATTATGATATAGCGACTGAGATATGAGAAATTAAAATCTGCCAAAACCAACACATTTTATTGCTTTTATTTACGGGCTGAGTTTATAAATAAAAAGCTTCTATTTTGAATAATACTTTAAAAAGAGAGCTTTTTATACCCTGAAGAAGCATCTGCGAACCCATAAAGTATATATATTCTTGAACAGCATCTATAGCCGAGTCAATCCAGCCATGTCCGTCTGTCTGTCTGTCTGTCTGTCTGCCCGCCTGAATGTGTGTCCCTCTGTCCGTCCGTTTGTGTGAACGCATCGAGCCGCAGAACCTATAAGAGCTGAAGACTTCGACGTAAGTCGTCCTATTGCCTGTGCAGTTTGAGTTTGTTTCCGATGATCAAAAACTTTCCAACTTTCCCGTTTTTCAATCAATCGATAAGAATCGATATCGAAATCCTGTCTCTAAGTAAATCTCTTAAGATGTAAATGCAAAAGTCCCCAACTGTACAAGTAGCTTCTAAAATGGTGTATACAGCTCAGGTATCTTTCATTTTATAGCTAAACTTAATGCATACATTTCAAATGATTGTATAAAACCAGGGCACATACAAATTTTCCGTGGTTCGATTTGAAACATCCATGAGCTCAGCTTTCGGTTCGAATCTTTTTAAAATTGTTATGAAAAATTTCCATTTTAAGCTATTTATTTTAAACCAAATAATATATAAATCAAAATACGTTTCGTTTGCTTGGCTCTGCTTAGCTTTAAAGTTTGGCTCATAGTAAGAAATACAAATAATAAACTCTATTCAAACCCGTTCGTTTCCAGAAAGTTTCTAAAAATATTCCACCCCGGACTGCAGCGGATCTAGGCAAATATAGGAGTTATTCCATTAGAAAAGAAAAAGCCCAACTAGAAGTTTGGCTATTTGAAAGCGTTCAGTTAGCGTTCAGCTTGTGGCTTTTAAACAGCTCTGTCATTTGCCGAACTTGGCAAATATGAAATCATAGCCAATTTACACATTGCCGAGTTTCAAGTTTTAAGCCGCAGCAAAGACTTGAGGCAATTTGTAGCCAAGTTGCGTACTTTATTCTTGGGCCACTTTTTATTTTATTTTATTTTTTTTTTGTTGGGTTTTAGTTTGGGTTTGGGTTTGGCTATGCTCGCTTGGCACTTCATTACCATTTGACTATTGTGAGCTAAGTGAATGTGTCCACATTGAGTGCGATGCTGCTGGTGCTGCTGTGCCGGGCGTCTATCGTCTAGCGTCTACTCTCAATTTCATTTCTCGCCCGCCCATTCATGTTGAAGGTCAACGCATTGTGGCACATCTTGGGCTTGGGCGTATTGTTGGCCCAGAGATTTGATAATCGACGCATTACGAAACTCAATTGCGCGCGTATCGCCAACAAATATCGTCTTACAAAATGCTACGCATAAAATCTACTTTACATGGCTCGCTTCACATATTTAATTTATTACAAAGTTCTTTCTTTTTATATTACATTCGTTTAAAGTTAAAAAAAAAAAAATTTAGTATATATTTAAGAAAATATAAACAAGTCGTTTTCTAGCACCAGCCGCCACCGCCCAAGGCAGCAGGCGCACCGAATCCAAGTCCAAAGCCGCCGCCGGCACCGTAGCCAGCGCCAAAGCCATAAGAAGCCGGCAGCGGTGCGCCGCCTGCATAACCACCGCCAAAGCCGCCGCCGCCCACATAGCCAGCGCCGCCGGCAATAACCGGCGTGGCCACAGACGTGACCACGGGCGTGACCACTGCCGATGTGGATATGGCTGGCGCAGCGCCAACAAAGCCACCACTGCCGTAACCAGCGCCATAGCCGCCGCCAAGGCCGCCTCCAAAGCCGCCGCCATAACCGCCGCCATAGCCAGCGCCATAGCCGGCGCCATAGCCTGCGCCTCCATAGCCACCGCTTGGCAGCACCGATACCTTGATCACCTTGACCACATTCTCATTGCCATAGCCGTAGCCGCCGCCGTAGCCTCCACCATAGCCTCCGCCGTAGCCGCCGCCGTATCCGGCGCCCGCATATGGATAGGCAGCGCCATAGCCGCCGCCAGCGCCGCCCAGCACCAGGCCCAGCTTGCTGAAGGTCGCCTCGCCGGGCGCCAACAGACTGGCCGCCAGTAGCACGGGCAAAGTTAGAGCATAGATCTTCATGTTGTTTCCGGAGTCGACGCTGAGTTTATCCACGAATGTTGCTCTGCTGCTGGCTTAATCTGCTCTTGACTGGACACCTTGTGCCGGCTGACTGTTGAACTTTGCTGACCGCCGTCGGGCATTTATAGCCAACACGTTTGAGGGCGGGCACAATGCCCGCCTATTGTTCTGGCACCCCTGTTGCCCTTTTGGCGGACATTGGTCAAACGTGTGAATTGCTTGATGAGCAACAGACTCAACCGAACGCAACCTCAGCACCAAATGCTGCAAACATGTCAAAGTCAATTTGTTTAGTTGTGGTTAACTGACACGCGGTGCTCACCCTTAGAACCCAAGCCGGAACCCCCACTTAATAGCCCGAAAAGTTAAAGGCAAAACGAAAAACGAACAAAAAATAGCTTCGATGCGCTCATCTTTGGCGCAAACCTGTGGAGAATGCGTCCATTGTAATTGTCAATGGGCGTTAAATGGCATTAACACTTTCGCTTTCCCATTGAGGAAGTTTCGGGCCATGCATAATGGGATCTAATGAGCGGCGATCATACAAATACTTGATCAGCTGGACACACACGCTTCCCAATTGTTTGCATTTGCACAGCTGCTTAATTCTATATGCACTCCTGCACAAGATCTATATGAAGTCGCTCTTTATTAACAAATAGATGAAGCAAACATCAGCTCCTAATTATCGATCACAATTATGATCTTGCTAATGATGAGCACTTATCCAATCAGACTGTGACAATCAGGGCTGCAAGCCCTCGCCGGCAACAGGTTCGAGTTCAAACCCGGGCTTGTCTTTCAAGCTGGGTTTTCCTTTAAAGCAAATGCGTATTTATATATTTTACTATATTCGCTTCGTGGCTTTTTTGGGCAACTGGGTTGGTTAATTGATTCCAAATTTCTTGAGTAGGAACTTCCATCTACTTACAAGTGAAAGGTGATTTGTTCTTTGGCCTCAACTCTCATTGAGGCAGCAGGCCGTATAATTTTTGAAATTAATTTGAGAAAATAACAGTCATTAATATAAGTAATCAATATCTAGATAGAGCACATGTTTTCTTAGTAAAAAGCCATTTAAAATTCGGTTTACTAATAGTTAATAATCTAGTACCATTTTGGAACATTTTGGAACGACCGAGCGTTAAATTCAAAATTGATAATCGCGAAAATTCCAAGTTACAAGTATGAAAAGTCGATTCAAAAAGGTGAAAAGCAGCAGCAACAACAGAGATGCGGAGCCGAGGAGCAGCAGCAAGACGAAGCTGCCCTTGCCGGTCTTTGGGCTGGTGTCCAAGGAAAGACCCTGGCCCCGCAAGGAGCGCCATTGTGTATACTATAGCACCGACTGTGATAAGACGGCGCTGATCAACAATTTTCAGAAAAGGGGCTGGCACAAGGTGCCCGCCTTCGATGGCGAATGGAATCTGTATTGGGCGTGCGCCCAGAATTGTCGCTACATCTTTGGAGTCGATCATCCATATCGTATGCGTTCCGATCAGTGAGTATGTGGAACATATGTAGTTATAGCTATAGATATCCAGATATCTAGATCTAGATGTAAATGTAAAGGTAGAACTCCTGCAGAATGATCAATCACTTCCCCAACTCGATGGAGCTATCGCGCAAGGATCTGTTGGTGAAGAACATCAAACGTTATCGGAAGGACTTGGAGCGAAAGGGCGACGCACTGGCCGAGACCCATCCAAATAATACAAAACTGGGCATCGGTGGCACGCGCTATATGCACCTGGATATAATACCCATGACATTTGTACTGCCCGCCGATTACAATCTGTTTGTGGAGGAGTTCCATAAGAATCCAGCTAGCACGTGGATCGTTAAGCCATCCGATAAGTCGCAAGGTGTTGGCATCTATTTGATCAACAAACTGTCCAAACTGAAGAGATTTGCCTACGAGGCGCGCACATTCTATCCGCACTTTCATCGCGACACCTGCGTCATCTCCAAATACATTGATAATCCCCTATTGATTGGCGGCAAGAAATTCGATCTGCGCCTTTACGTGCTGGTCACCACATTCAATCCGATAAAGGCATATCTGTATAATGAGGGCTTTTGTCGATTTTGCACCCAGAGATACGACCAGACCGAGATCGACAATGTGTTCATGCATCTCACGAATGTTAGCATTCAGAAGAATAACGTTGTAAGTCGTGCGATCCAGCGATCTATAATGCCGACTCTGATCCCAGCTAAATGATCCATAACCTGTTCAGAAGGAGTACAATACGATACACGGCGGCAAGTGGTCTATGCAGAATCTCTGTCTCTATCTGGACAGCATACGTGGCGAGGGTGTTTCAAAGCAGCTCTCTCGCCGTATCTCCGAGACAATACGCCATTCTTTGGACGCTGTGGCGCCGGTGATGGCCAATGATCGGCATTGCTTTGAGGTCTACGGCTATGATATCATTATCGACAACAATCTGAAGCCGTGGCTTATCGAGATCAATACATCGCCGTCGATACACTCAACGACCAAAAACGATTGCACTCTGAAGACGCGCCTGATTGACAATGTTCTCGATGTGGTAATACCACCCAGCGGAATGCCCGAGTGAGTATTTGCATATATTTCCATTTGTGTCCAAACAGTCTCGCCCATATTCTAACCAGCGAACGGTGGGCCAAGACGCCCAGCCAGGACTCCCTGAAGAACTTTACCCTGCTAACGCCTGTTGAGCTGCCAAATCCGCGAAAGCTCTGCAAATTGGCCACGCCCACAGCAGCAGCAGCAGCAGCAGAAGCAGCAGCAGCTGGTCCGCAGCGAAAGAATAAAAGGTTCGTGAGGCGTTTGGTGAGCGGTGCAACTCCAATCACAGGTTCCAATGTGACATCCAGATTCAAGCTGGCCTCTGGCACATCAGTGCTCAAGAAGCAAGCCCAAAACAAAAAGTCCGCCGATACCAAAGTATTGATCAAAAAGCCAAAGTTAATCAAGCGCCTGTCCAAATAAACGAGCATCTGGCAAGTCTGAGGCATCAGATACACGATTTGTTGTTGGCTCCTTGCGTACATATTCGTGAGTTACTCAAAGCCAAGTTGAATCACTTTCTGCGGGGGGTAAGTACTTGAAATAAACCTTAAACTGTTTCCATTTTTACGCGTTATATGTTAATAAATTTGATTTCAGTGGCAATTCAACAACAACATAATGAGAGACTTTGATATTTGTTTTGAGTTGTTCACAAAATTTTCCTAATACTAATTTATAGTTTTTTTCATATACATATAGATATATGTATATATATATATATATATATATATATATATATATATATAGTCTGCTTAGTCGCTATTTGACATTGGTTTTCTATATATATTCATGAATAGCATCAGAGTTTAGAGTCCGCAATGCAATTTTTAGGGCATAAATGTGGCGAATAAAAAAGCCAAGGCTCTAGCTTTAAAATTATGTCAATATTAAAGGTCAGGTTTTCAAGAAGTGAAGTTTAATTAGTTTGATGCGATACACGAGAATCTACCAACAAGTTTCTTCTAATTTTACAGTTTTCCCTAAGAAACCATGTCCATGTCTATATTTTTTTATGAATATTATCGAAATGATGCGAGTTACCGACAAGAAAAATATGATAAACTTGTTCTGCGCATGGTATTTGAGAATATTTATTTCTAATTTCAAGTATCTAGTTTCCAAGAACACGTTCATACGGACGGACAAGGCTAGATCGGCTCAGCTCGTCGTCCTAATCAAGAATATTTTTGGTTCGCAGATGCTTGAATTACATTTGTAGGAATTAAATTACACATTTCTTAGCCATATTATTATCAGAAGAACAGAAATCAAATTTTCTTTAAATAACAACTCATTTTCCGGGCATATTCCTACTACTTAGACCCATCTAATCTGATTAAAATCTTAAGGTATTAGGATTTTAGGAATTATAGCGCTCACAATGGCTGATATCTTAGTTTTGATACATCATATAGCGCATTTGTATATATCATAGATTATAGATCCAAAGATCCATACAAAAGAGCACATATGTATATATCATAGCCTAGATCCCAGGATCCGCAAATGTATATATCATTGATTATAGATCCAAAGATCCATACAAAAGAGCACATAAGTATATATCATAGCCTAGATCCAAGGATCCACACAAATGGGAAAACGCAACGCTCTTATATTGATATTGTATTGAAACTTAGACATTTAATGCGCAACAGAATTTTGCAATATACAAAATACACAATTATTACAATATGTAGCGTATGTGTATGATTTTATAATTATACGATATCTAATATGAAATTGTCTCGGTAAGCGCCCAAATGTTGTGTGTCGGGGCCAGTTTTGGCTGCACAACATATGTTTTATGCTAACACATAATTAAGTAATATTTATAAGCATATAAGTTTAGCTTAGTTCAATATATGATAATCATCATAATATATATATATAGATTTAAAAAAAATTATTGGGACTTTCAAGTTTTACTTTTAAACTTTTACTTTTGCATACAAAATGGCGTTTGCTTTAAAGCTAAACGAAAAAAAAATCATTTTTAATAATATATGTGTAGATTTCTATGTGTATGTCTAAATATATATACGTGTGTATGCCAGTTATATATATTTACAGCATGATTTTGGCTTAGTTAAAGCGCAAAATACAATTGAAAGTGTATTTTTATGTTCGTATACAAGCCAATAGCTTTTAATTTAGCATATATGTATATATATATATATGTATATTATATTAACAAATGTCTGTTTATGATGAAGGTTTTTGCGACTCGAATGCAGCCTATTTGAATGTAGCTGTCATATGAAATGATATTTCGTTATTCAATTAACTCTCATCCTAAGTGCGCGCACAATAAAAACTAAATTTAATAATTATTTACATGGTCTGTGACTTAGACTTAGCGATTAATACAATATAAATGTTTAGCTTAATTTAAGCGCAGTGCATTGGTTTCTTCTTTAAACTAACACTTCGTCCTGCTTTAATTTAATATTTGATATTTGAATAATTATTCTTTTTATGATAAAGTAACATTTCTTGCTCTTCAATATGCGCTTCACGTGGAATACTTTCATTGTATAATGTATTTTTGAATGAGCTTAACTATAAGCATATGTGTGTGGGTGTGTTTGTGTGTGTGTGTGTGTGTGTGTGTGGGGGTATGTTGCCCTTGTCAAATGATGAAAAAAATTATATTTCATTTTATTTTATTTATATTTATAAAACAAAAAAAAAAAATAATAAACAAACTGCTTTCCAGTTGATTGCTTGCTTTTGCCGGCCGCTTGCGACGCACACGCGACCTCTAACTCCCCCATCAACCATCGGCGCCCTTGCCCACCCATTCAGCTGCCTGGTGGAATGAGTCAGCACTCGGTGGCATAGTAGAAGACCTCCACCTCGCTCAGCTCCGAGTGGCGACTGTGCTGGCCCTCCACGAGGACGTCGCGTGTGGCGCGCGCATGCGCCAGCACCTATAGTCACACCTTGGACGCATGCGGCTGGACGCCGGCAGCGCTGCCATATTGCGACTGCGCTGTCGCTATCTTTTGCACGGTCTGATAGGTGGGCTGCTGTGGCTGCGATTGCGATTGGGTCTGCGGCATGCCGGTCTGCTCGCGTATGGTCACCTGGGTGACGAACGGTCCGCGGCTGCGTGCGCTGCTGTTCAACGATGCCGGAGAATAGCCATTGAGTGCCGCTGCCTTCCAGTGCGGCTGTGCTACATTCACGCTGATGGGCGACGACGAGTTGCCATTGTGGTGTCCATGGTGGCTATGGCTGTGCTTGATGCTGCCAACGCGCTGCTGCTGCTGCACGGTGTCGTACTCGTAGTAGCTGCTCATGGGGCGCAGTCCGTTGGATTGCTGATATGACTGATGTGCTGCGGCAACGGCTGCCGCGGAGGGGGGCAGCGGCAGTGGTGGCTGCTGTGGGCTGGATGAGGAATGCATACTGACGTCCTGAGAGCGGGCGCTGCGCTGCGAATGGTAATGCTGATGACGGCGACTGCAAAAGCGTACAAAGCATAGGTTCGCATATAATACAAATGTGGGCTGCATGTGTGTGCGTGTGTGTGGTGCGGCATATGTTATCCAAAACCTTGGCTGTGTGTTAGTCAGAGTGTATGTGTGTGTGTGTGTGTGTGTTACCTTTCGGCCTCAACCTTGATGCGCTGCCGGATCACCTGCTGTCGCATGCACTCGATCGTCGACTCCGAGAGCGTCTCTTGAACGCCGTCGCTGTCGTGTCCAGTGTTGGTTAATGCAATAATATTGAGTATGAACATGATGTGTGTGTTGTTGTTGTCGCAGTGTTGTTGTTGTTGTTGTGTGAGTAGTGTATGAACAAGTAAGAGAGATACGAACATATATTGTACACGGTACACAGAGTAGAAAGAGAGAGAAATATATGACACAGAAACGAGTTAATAAATACACAAACACATAACAGTTATAGCCACATAAATAGATCTGTTTAAGCTACCTATAAACATCAAATATTTAAAAAATTAGAAGCAAAGAACAGCTTTTGGCTAACAAGTCTGAAAAGATTACGCAGCCCAGAACCTGGCCAAATACATTTCTTAAATTTTCGGATTTGTAAATTATTGAAGAACAAAAACCTTTTTCAAAACCAATTCTGATATTTTATCCAGACTGCACACTAGCTACTTTTTCTTTATATTAAAACATATTTCTTATAAAAAAATATTTAAATTATTTATGAATCATGTTGCGAAGAAATCTTAATATCAAGCTCAGCTTAAACCAAGTCTCATTTGTACGAGCCCCAGAACTTGGCCAAGCACATAACTTTAATTTTTTCAATTTTTCATTCACCTATTAAAGAACAAAAACCTTTTTCAAAACCAATTCTAATATTTTCTCCAGACTGCACACTAGCTACTTTTTCTTTATACTAAAACATATTTCTTATAAGAAAAGTATTTAAATCTTGCTGCGCTTCAGCCAAGGCTCATTTGCATTTATTCAGTTTTCTAACTCTGAATCTTTGGCATATTACCACAGCAGACCCTGCAGCAAATATATGTACACACCGAAAGTTATTTAAATGTTAGCCAGCACCTCTTAAACATGAATAAGTACTTATAGATAAACGAATACATACGAAATGTAGCATAACAAATGGGAAATGAGGCAAATGTAAGCAAGCAGGCTCTCACCTGATCTGATGCTGGTGCAGATCTTCATAGTTGGCATAATGCTGATAGCGATGATTGAATATATCATTCTGATGTATGCCACCGTTAAGGGTGCCGCCGTTGCCGCCTCCTGTGGCAGCTGCAACGCCTGCCGCTGCTGCTGCACCACCACCACCAGCTGCATTTGGTGCTGGCAGCGGCGGCGGCGGTTGATACGCTGGCGGTTTGCCATTCCGTTCCAGTGCGGCAAGCGCAGCGGCTGGGATTTGCTGCTGATGCTGGTGCTGATGCTGGTGGGACTGGCCAGTTGCTGGCGGCGTCGAGGATACAATCGAGGATGTGGCATAGGTATCGACGGGCACAACGCCATCCTTGCGATTCTTGCCAAAGCGAAACATGTGCCCGATGCCGCGCAATATGCTCGGCTTCTTGGCCCGCGACTTGCTGCCATGCTTGCCATCGTTGAGAGAGCTCTGGAAGGGTCCGTTGCGCTGCGAGGCAAAGCCGCCCTCGTGATCGCCCTCCTCGAGCAGCCAGGTCTTGCGCGGCTCTAAAAAGCAAATTGCAAATTGTTAGTCGAGATCAGTTAAATCTGCTGCCAGGTTGTAATGCTGCTCACTGTTTGCATCCGGTTCGCTGACAACGGCGGCACGCAGGCTATCCTCGCGTCCGCGTCCGCGTGGTGCGCGCAGCGCATGATGAGCCCGCGGCTCATCGGACATTTGCAGCTCCTGGACCATGGTCTGCAGCGATTCCAGTGAGGAGGACTTCTTGAGGCCCAGCGAGGGGCCCAAGTCGCCCAGCTTATCGCGCGCTTCCGCCTCGGCGGCCAGCAGCTGCTGTTCCCGCTGCTCAATATGGGAGCTGGTCTTGGCATGCTTATAGCCAGCCGCCGCTGCTGCCATTTGGGCGTTCGCACTGGCGATGCGCGCCGTCAGCGATTCAATGGAGCCGCCATAGACAGCCGATTTGGTTAGCTGAATGCGGCGTTCGCGTTCCCGCTCCTCGCGCAGCTTCTTGTTGCGCTGATAGGTGCCCGTTTCGCGAGCATCCAGCGCCGCGTGATGCTTCTCCGAGATGCTGCGCCTGCCTAAAGCATCGCGCGAGAAATGCTCCACGCCCGAATTGTTCGTCTCCAGACTAAGCTGCGACGAGTATGTGGCATCGAAACTGCCCGCCACGGGTGCCGTTCCGCCTCCGCCGCCTCCCAAGCCCTGGCCCAGGTTGGCGCTCGCCTGCGATGTGTTCGCGCTGCTCGCGTTGCAGTGCTGGCCATCGTGTGCGCGCACTGGCAGCGTGCTGCAAGGAGGCCCAAAAAGCAATATGATTAACGAGAGTCAAGTCAAGCCTAGGGCGACAACTTACGGTGACATGGGCTCCGCATCGTCCTCGATGAGCAGCGCCGTGTTGCCATGCCCATTGAGCAGCTGCAGCGGCGCCGGCGACCAATTGTCATTGGTGGCCATATAGTAGCTCTCGTTGCGCAATCCCGCATTGTTGCCGCCCAGCGGGGGCGGTGGCAAACGGCGCTGTTGCGCCTGCGATTGCAGCTGCTGTTGCTGCTGCTGCTGCTGCAGGTGCTGCTGTTGTTGTTGTTGTTGTGTTGGCTGCGTTGAGTTTGTGGAGCAAATGCCACCGGTTAGACGATCCAAAACGGGATTGCTCCATCTGGAAATGAGAGTGCGGGTGTGTTATCTGTTATATGTACTCAAATCATGCCAAAACCAATTTTGCATAGAATTCCACCAGGTTTAATTCATCAGCAGGAACCACACCTGACCAACGGGTCACAACTGCTTCCCGACAATGCAGAAAACCCTCATATAATTGTATCTTAAGTATCTTAGCTTCCCCCAAGAGTCTTACCTATTCATATCGCTGCCGGAGCTGCCCGGTCCGTTGCTGCTGCCGCGCGGTTCACGTTTCTCCGGGCTCAAGTAAATGACCGTGGCGCCAGAGTTGTCGCTGGCATTGGAGCTGCTGTTGTTGTTGTTGTTGCTGTTGCTGTTGCTGTTACCGCTGCTGCTGTTGCTATGGCTATGGCTGTGCTCCAGTATATCGTTGGAGCTGGCCGAGCGCAGGATCTTGCGTCCGACTAGCAGGGTAATGGTGCCCGGATGCTTGCCCGGATTGTTGACCATGGCGCGACGCAGTGTCTCCATGGCCTCGGCATTGTTCTGGCCGCGCAACGAGACGCCATTCACACTCAGCAGCTGATCGTTCATGCGCAGGCGCCCGTCCCGTGATGCCGCGCCGCCATGAATCACGTTCTTCACAAATATGCCCAGATCACCGTCGTGCTTCATGCTGCTGTTGCTGCTGCTGCTGGGCGTGGATGCGTTCAGATTGGAGCACGTCTTGCCCTTCACACTGACCCCAAGCCCAGCCTTTTCAGTATCGTGGACGGGAATGTGCAGAGTTAGCTCCTCCCGTGAATGCCAGCTGCTGCTGCTCGGCGGGAGGCTGTCCTGTATTGCCAGAGAGGATAGGAGGATTAGTTAGGCAGAGCAATAGATAACAACAACTTGTGCTGAATAAATTATAGGGTATTTTTCGAACTGAACTAGTTCGTCTGGTTCTGATCCGCTGTGTTTTCATATAGGCGATCGACGATTCAATTTCGAACTGATTTGCATTTGTATATCCCGCACCCTATGGACTAGTTCTTTTTATGTACTTGAGTCCTTCACAATTTATGAATGAACTAGTTCTTTTATGTCAATTTCGTCTAAAATGAGCTGTATCACGCCCTGTTTTTATTTCAAATCAAAATGAAGTCAGAGACTTTTAAATCCGAAAACAGTTTTTAGCTACAATAAACTAGGTCTTTTTTCTCAATCAATTGCTTCTTATGAGCTAGTTTTATATTCCGTCCAGATGAGCTAATTGCATAGCTGCTATGCAGTTGCTGCTGATGAACTAGTTCGTATCACAAGTAAGTGAGTTAATTCCCTTCAGAAGCTCTCAACATAAAAGTTTCTCCTTTCAGCTGATATACTTTTTTCTGGTTCTAGTTCCAAATTATGCACTCAATGTCCACGAAGAACTGGAACAGCTGCTACAATGGATCTAGTACACATTATCCATATTGAAGCAGCTCGATTTTTTGTTGATCATTTTGTTGACCTAACTAGAATCTACCGTCTACCTTAACTTGAGTAGTGGAACTAGTTTCGTGAACAAATCACTTACATTGGAAGCCGCCGACTCACTGCCCGCATCAATAAAGTGCTGAGATTCATTGAGCTGTGCCTGCTGCTGCAGCTGCTGCTGTTGAAAGAGCGAACGGGCGCTACTCGACTTTTGCACCGGAATCGGAGCGGAAGCGGGACCCGTCACAACGGGCGCTGCCTTCTCGACTGGTTCCGGTTGCGGCGGCTGCAAACATAACGTCGTTAGTTTCATCTCAAGTGGACGGAAATTGACAAATGAAAGAGAACTTACGCCAATGGGCATCTCGGCCAGCTCCTGTTGCCTGGAGACGACAATGCGCACCGTGGCGCCGGCGGGCATGCCGCGCAGAATGGCTACCACATCCGTTTGGGTCTTCCCGGTCATGGGCGTGCCGTCGACCTCAAGCAGACGATCGCCGGGTTTCAGGCGGCCGTCCTCAATGGCCGCGCCGCGTGGCAGAATGTTCTTGATGTAGATGGGACAATGTCCGCCCGCCGGATTGTCACGCGTGGTCACCGAAAAGCCCAGGCCATTTGGCCCCTTCTTCAGCAGTATTTCGATTTTGCGACCCAGCTTGCGTGTGTTGGCCACCTGCAGCGAGGTGCCCACCGGAGCGGCATGCGGCTTGCGTGTGGGCGAAACGGTGGCCACTTCTACCATTTCGGCGACCTTGGAGTCGCGACGCTGCTGCTGGCGACGCTGCTGATCGCCGCGCAGGACGCGCACACGCAGCTCGGAGCACTCGAGGGCACGTCGCAGCTGCTCCTGCACCTGGGACTCGCTCAGGCCGATCAGCTTGATGCCGTTGATCTCGAGAATGCGATCCTCGCGACGCAAACGGCCACGTTCGGCCCGACTGCCGGGCTCTACGTGCTGCACGAGCAGCCCGCCGCCATGCTCCTTGTCCGGCATGGCCGTCAGACCGAGCGGACTGCCGTACTCGTTAATAATGAGCAGCATCTCGCCGTCCTTCTCGCGTATGGACTCGTATGCCTGGCCCAGCGGCTCCTTGCGTTTGCTTTCGCGCGGCAGCGATTTGCTGGAGTAGGCGCTGTTCGGCAGCGATGTGGGCAGCGGCTGTTGGTGCTGCTGGTGCTGCAGCTTCTCGGCTGCCTCCATCCACTTGTAGCCGTTGCCGTCGCCCAGGAACTGCATGGACAGCCGGCCGGAGCGGGCGAATGGCTGATGGGCGCCCGTTGCAGCAGCAGCAGCATGTTGTGGCTGCTGCTGTTGTTGCAGCAATTGCTCCTTCAACTGTGCCGCAGTGTCGTCCTCCTCCTCCCACTGTGGCGACAGCTGGCCACCGGCCTTATCCAGCATCAGTCGTTCCGGCGAATCGCCGCCCGCATAGTGCGGCGCTGCCGCCGACCAGCGCTTGTTGCCGCCCTCCGCCTTGAGCGAGGCGAGCAGATTGGGATCGCTGCTGCGACGCACCATTAGGCCCACGCCGAGGCCAGCCAATGGGCCGGACGTGGTACTGGTCACCTCAATGTGCGGCGTGGACAGATCGCGCGTGGGCGCCTCTGTGTTTGTGGGATCGCGAAAGATGTCCGGCGAGCCCGTGCCCACCGAGGAGCTGCCCGATGCGCCATCGCCGCCGCCCTGCGGCACGCCCGGATCGGGCCCGGAGTCCTCAAAGTGGGCCAATATCTGTTCCCGATCGTCGGCTACATCGCGAACACAATCATCGGGATCCAAGATGCCCGACTGCGTCTGCAGATGATGCACGGCCACCCAGGAGTCCGCTTCCTGAAACACACAAGAGCAAATAGGAAAGAGCCTTAGTACGAAATCTTAAATATATTTATTTAATATAATAAGTAATATAAAATGAAATATTATATATGATATATTTTAATTATGAAAAATTCAACAGATTTTGGAACTCGTTCCACTTATTGGCTGTAAAACTAGTTCACTACTAAAAAATATTTCGAAAAATATTTAAAATGTCATTTTTAAACTGGCTCATGGTTCAATAACCGTTATTTTGGTATGAGCAACAAAAGAGCTAGTTCCAAATATGTCGTTCTTAATTGACTAGTTCATATTTTTGGTCATTGAATGTGAACTTGTATAGTTATATTTAAATACAATTATCGGCAAAATAAATGTTATCTCTTGGCTTAACATTTCCTGAACTAGTTCATTGGTTCGTTAACATTTTATAAGCTAGTTCCGCTTGCAAATTTCTAGCTCTAGTTACGCTGATTTGTTAATTCGATTTAGTCGAGGGATAGAAATACTTCCATGTTTCATGTTTTGGGCTTTTGGAACCAACTGAACCACAAGCGATGGAACTTCTACATACTATCTACATATCTCTGGCTTTGCTTCGGCGCAGCAGTTTTTGCAGCAACAAAGACACAATCGCAGCCAATTCAAGCCGAAGACGAGCCTGGGAGAATGCAAGTCGCGCTTAACACTTCCGGGCCTCGAAAGACAATTGCCCAATTGGCCATGTGTTGAGTCATTGACGCAGCTCAGGTGATTCGGCGCCGTCCATAAGCCGCTTGGGAAAACCATTTAGAGACGTTGAAGAATAGCGACGACCTCCAGCCTCCCAAAGCAAAACGAAAATTGCAGCGGGCCAACGTAAAAACGGCAAACCGAATCAAGTTGGCGTCATTGTTGGCTTGGCATTCCATTGAATTCCAAACACACAAATGCCAAATGCCGAAAACTGGCCAACAACAACAGCAACAAGAGCAACAATTGCATCATGCCATGAAACCAGTCATGGAAGCAGCAGAGCGTGCGCTTCGCTCCCTGAACTGGAGAACTGGAACGTCAACTTGGCGCAACAATTTGGAAGGTTGTTTTCTAGTTTTCGCTTTTAATTTTCGCCACTTGCCAGCACTGACAGCGCCCCCGACAAAGAGCTAAAAAACTAAGCCATGTTGTGGTTGTGGTTGTTGCTGTTGCTGTTCTTGGATTTATGGGTCAAAGAGCGTGGCCGACATTGCACTCTATCGATTCTGAAGCAGCGAGAGTAAAAAATGAAAACAAATTGATTTTCCTTTTGTTCATTTTTCGTTTCAGCAAGCGCACCGTGTGCAAAAGCGGTTAAAAACGTATCAAAACGAAACGTTGATAACTCCAAATATCGACAACAGTTTAATTTTTTTTTTTTTTAAGATTAATCGTAAATGTATTTTTAACGATAAGCAATAAAGCAAATTATAATATTGGCAATATTTGAGGAAAAGGAAGACAAAACGACACGACGAAGAGTAAATACTCTTTAAGACAGTTGGCGTAGCAGGGCTTTATTTCCGACCAATTGTTCGGATATGAGCTATATATAGCAGTCCGATGTTGAGAAGATTCTGTTTATATGTGAGGCATACAGTGAAGCCTCTCAAAGCAAACGTTTGGTTAAGATATCGGAAGCAGAATAATCAAGGAAGAGTTCTACATTTAAAAACTGATTTTCGACAAATCGTTCATATAGATATTTATAGAGTTTGGATGTTAATAAGACTTTTCTCATATGTTAGGCATATAGTGAACCCAAAATATCTTGCAAATAAAATGTTTTTCATACAAGAACTTAACTGTCGCCCGAATCTGCCTACAATAGCCATATGGTAAGGTGGTCCAATCAGGCCCACTTTAAAATTCAGATCTATGCAAAGTTTCGTGACAATCGCTTTAAACAAACAAACATTCCTATGTGGAATCGGATTTTAATACCGTTGAAGAATATAAATACTTTTTTTTGGGATCGAAGCGGTCTTCTACCCTTTTATACACATTCATTGACAAAAGCGTATTACTCTCGGCAAGGGCATAAAAGCAATACCCATGCTTCGATTCAACGATTTGCAAAAGGTATATCTATTAGGTCAATGGAAACTTTAACGCTTACAATGTTAATAGCTACTTATAATGGTACATACTAGTTCGATAATTTACATGGAGACATTAATAATGATCGATAAATGATCGTATGCATTTAAGATATGAAAATATATCAACTATTGATATAATGATTATTGATAATTTAGACAGAAATAATTGTTTAAGCAATGGAATATATTTAGAATACTTGATGACATTTTTAAAGTTAACGTCATGGATGCATAATGTGATCGCCATAAAGCTTTCTTTAGAGTAGCAATAAAATGTGTTATCGATATGCTAGCAGATTTATCGGTTTGTTTATATTAAATAACTTTGCTGTTTATTAACTATCATCAATATGCACATGAATAAAAGTTATTATAAAATCAATTCACTTTCAGTTGAATTTGACGAATGTGCTTTTATAACAAAAATTCTTCATATTTTGCCCATTGTTGATATATCATATCTGAATACATATCTGAATGGTCGATTGTTTCTTTATGGTCATTTGTCAATGAAAATGATGCGTCGATGGGCAAACAATGGATCGTATATCATAAACCATTGCATATGTATGTGGAGCGAACTATGTGGGCGGTTTTTTGTGTGTGTGTACTTATTCATATATATGTTGTGGGCGTGTCTTATCATGGGAAATGTCCAAAAGAGTTAAGTTTTGATTGTGTGTCACAGTTGAACTAGCTCGTGCTGTTCTGGTCAGGGATTAGGGCTAGAGTTTACCTTCACGCAAGCATAGCTTGGCGACGGGGGCCGCTTCGGCAGCGTCAGAGAGTAGGATTTGTGCAGGTTGCCATGGGGTATGCCCTCGTGCTTGGCAGCCACCTTGTAGGTGTGGCGCCAGCCAAAGAGGCCGCTCAGTTTGTTAGCCAGCGCTGGACACTTGGGCGGCACGTCGAACATATTCCAGGGCTTCTTCCCCCAACGCAGCCCGCGTTGATCTTTGGTTTTATTCGCTTAGCACACGATTTGTGTTAATGTTAATTTTATTGTAGTCGCTCTTGTTGTAGTTGTTGTTGTTGTTGTTGTTGTTGTTTTGATTTGTATATTAGTTTTATTATTATTGTTAGTTAGAGTTAGTTGGCATTTTTACACACTATGGGCAAAAGTCACAGTTGGTCGCAGCTCGTTTCTATTATATTTGGCATTGCCATTTCAGCGCTCGACTCGTAAAACGTCGAGGAACATTGTTTCGGAACTCTGAATTATCATATCGTATATAAATTTGTTATTATCGTATTGTTATTAGTCACACTTTATTTGTTAATGTTGCCGTTGTTGTTTTTGCTGGGGGGAGGGCACGCGCGCCTTTCCGTTCTTATCGATGACGCAATTACGAGTGTGGCAACACACAAGTTACCTTATCAGAGCAATCAGCCTTATCAATGCAGTAGCCAAGCGCGTTTATCCCAGGCAATCGAAACTAAGTTAAAATTCTTCATCATTGAATATACAATCGAATCATGTACTTTTCGCTGATAGCCTGATAACTTGGACATTCAGTTCATTCTGCGGCAAATGTTTCACATTTCCGTCTTGAATTGCCAACAAGCATTTCTTTTAGTTTATATTTCAGAATAATTTTGTATACTTAAGACATTTATTTATTGATTGAATTGGATTGACACATGCGGTTCTCTATAAATACACGTTTTAGGTGTGAATAAACTTTCAGCAAACACAAACAAGTGCACAACATTTTGTAGTGTATACATATATAAAGGGTATATAAAGTTCACATGTATTTCTTCTTCTTCTCTTCTCTTTCTCAACCGAAGCCTGAGCACCCTGCAACTTTGAGAGAATCAGTGGAAACCTTCAAAAATACTCTTTTTGGTTGTGTAAATATTAAGCGAGTATTTCAAGTTAACTTAAAAACTAACTTATTTGATCTAGAAATGCATTCTATACTCTGCCCGCATAGGTGCTAAAGAGTATATTGGTTTTGTGAACTAAATATTTCATAACCTGAACCCATTGAAAGTGGTACAGAAGGGTATCATGTTTTTGTGCAAATTTATGCAACAGGCAGAAGGAAGCATCTCCGATTAAATAAGTTATATAAATTATTGGTCAGCATCAATAGCCGTGTCGATCTCAGAGCCTATAAGAGCTAGAGATTCAAAGCTTTGAAGTATATCCTTCTAGTGCCCACGCGCCGTATGAATTTGTTTTCGATAGTCGATAACGCGGCTCGTTTCCAAGCAATCGATAAGAATCTATATCGGAATTCTGTTTCTTGAGCACATCTCGCTGCTTTTAAGAGCTAGAGTCACCAAATTTTTCATGTAGCTTCTAGAATAGCATATAAAGATTTAAAGTATCTTTCGTTTTAAAGCTAACGAGCGAGTATCGCAAACTGTATTTCTAGGATATTCCCTAGGCGGGCACTCGCGACTGGAGCACACTTAATTGTTTTTTTTTGTTTGTTTTGTATTTCTTTGCATTTTTGAATACGTCTTTTGTTTAATCTAGCAATTTATAACTTCAGATATATATCTCTCACAACTTGCCCCATATATTATATAAGTATATTAAATATATATTTAAGATCTTTTCCATTTTTTTGTTCCAGCTAATTGCAGCTATTATTACTCAGAGAAATTAAGCAGAGTAGCCACCTCTCCAATCTAACTACAGATTATCTAGTGTTAAAACCCTTTTTGGTGTTTTTAACACAGGTTTAGAAACAGACCATTTTTTAAATTTAAGGTATATTAGAGGCCCGTCCGACCAAGTTACAGGATAATGTCATTGCTCAACATGTTCTACTTTAATGTTAACTGTCAGTTATGCCCGTTGTTAGACCCTTTCAGGTCTAGTTTTCCCACATTTGCATTTGCTGTGAATGTCGTGCATAGTTTGCATTAAATTAAAAATGC